TTCCTCTTTCATATCCTAAGAACATGGCATATAATTAAGGCTGCTCAAGAAGATGATGAATTAGTCTTTTGAAAACTGAGGTCATTCAAATCAGAACATCTCATTAATCTTGGATACAAATTACAATGGGAGATCAACAGAAGCTTTGAAACAAATTAGCTATATTCCATTTATCTAAAAACACTGTTAAAAGAAATCTGAGTTCATAGATGATCAATAGTAATTCCCATCTAGTGTTAAATATTATTGTTTAAAAAGTAATGTACTCTAGGAAGAAATTCTGCAGTCCTTATACTCTGAATGGACTTGTTTGTCCTCCTCTGGCGGACAGAGCACTAACATTTATTTCAATGACTTACTTCAATTTTTGTTTGCTTGGTTCTTGCTATTAAAGAACTTCAATCTCCTTAATGAGCTATCATAGACCTCCTTTTATGTACTAGTCCCTAGTTCAGGCCCTTCCTCATAGTATGCACTCATATATTATTATGGAAGGAAGGAGGGATATAAGGAAAGGATGGAAGAAGGAAGGCAGGATGGAAAAAGGGTGCGAGCAGCCCACTGTCCCAGAAACACAGCAGCAGGAGTTTTTCTCACCTGGGAGCTGAGCCAGCTAGCCCGGGCAACAGAGTGAGACTCTGTCTCAAAAAAAAAAAAAAAAAAAAGGCAGCAGGTTGAGCTCTGGGAAGAAGGAAGGCAGGATGGATGAGGTTTGCGAGCAGCCCACTGTCCCAGAAACACAGCAGCAGGAGTTTTTCTCACCTGGGAGCTGAGCCAGCCTGCCCTGTCCTCCACCCAGAACCTTGAGGCCTTGGCCTGGAAGGCCCAGGCCTCATCACGTCCCTGCCGCACACCCACTGTGTCCCCTCTTAGTTTGGGGCTGGACTGGGAACTTCAGTTGGCCCTCCCCAACTCAGGCATGGCTGAGAACCACCTCCAGGGTGAGTTCACCAGAGACGCACTCCAAGAGAAGAAAGGATGCAGGATGGACAGCCACTGTGGACACGCAGCTGCCAGCTGGTGGGACAGACCAGCCGGTGCTGCCCCAGGATGCCCGGCCCCTCCTCACCTGCGATGATGAACCAGTTCATGTAGTTCAGGAGGTTGACGTAGCAGAGCACCGCAGCAGCCACGTAAGCCCTCCAGCGGGGCAGGCTCCAGGGCACGGGTGTGGCTGGAGGGGGACACTGACCCACAGCCGAGGCCCCTTGCCCGCCTGGTCGCAGGGACTGGCCCTGTGGCCCTTGTGGCCCAGGCTCGGGGCATTCTGTGGACATCCCCTAGCAGCACCAGCGTGCAGCTCCTGTCCCCAGACAGGCGCTGGGGCGAAGACGCATCAGCTCGGCACCAAGTCACTTCCTGTGGGCTCCCAGGCCCCAGCCTCAAAGCAGCTGCCGTAACTGTTGGGCATCTTATCGCAGGTTCCTCCTGCACCCACTGCAGCCTCACCAGTGAGATTTCACCATCCTCAGCCTCGGAGACCTGCTGGAGAGGAAAAGAGCTCCTGGCACCCCCGTCCTGGAGGACTGGACAACTCTGTGATCCCCTGGTCTAGCCTGTGGCTGCAGCAGGTGCTGTGAGGAAGGGAAGCTTCCAGGTCAGGAAGCGAGAAGAACCTCCCAGAGTGCTGCCCACTGAGAGCGGCCTGGCTGTCCACACGAGATGGACTATGAACCAGTGCCTTGAACTCGGGTCAAGTCAGGGAGGCTGGGCATTGGCCAGGACGCAGCCTTGCACTAGACTGTCAGGGAAGGCGGGCGCCTGCTCGGTATCTAAGGCCCCACCTGGGGAAACAAAGGTCACAGAGGCAGCCTGTGGGCAAAACTCTTTAGTGACTGCTAAACCTAGGGGGAAAGTCTCAGTGAGGGGCGGGGTCTTAACGTATTGCTTAATCTGTGTTAGTAGCAAGGGGGAAAAAAGAGTAGCTGTGCAGTAGAGGAATCAGAGACAGCTTGATGGAGGGATTAAAATAACATCACCTGGGCTGGGCGCGGTGGCTCACGCCTGTAATCCCAGCACTCTGGGAGGCTGAGGCTGGAGGATTGCTTGAGCCCAGGAGTTCGAGACCAGCCTGAGCAAGAACAAGACCCCGTCTCTACTAAAAACAGAAAAATTAGCCAGGTGTGGGGGTGCCCACCTGTAGACCCAGCTACTTGGGAGGCTGAAGCAGGAGGCTCTCTTTAGCCCAGGAGTTGGAGGCTGCAGTGAGCTAAGTGAGCTATGATGACGCCACTACACTCTACCCAGGGCAACAGAGCGAGACTCTGTCTCAATAAAAAAAAAGAAAGGAAGAAACTGAATCCCCTTTCAAAAAATAAATAAATAAATAAAATAACGTCACCTGTGAGGGGCAGGTAGGCATCGCGTGCCTGCAGAGGTGAAAGCCTGTGCAGGTCCCAGCGTCACTGACACAGGACTCCAGCCAGGAGAGCACAACCAGAATCTAATCAGGAGGAAACCGCAGACAAGCCCAAATGGAGAAGCGTCATTTTTTTAAAGGGACTGTATTATTCAAAAATGTCAGAGTCATAAAAGCCTAAGAAAGACGAAGGGACTGTTTCAGATTAAAGGAGACAAAAGAGATGTGACAATTACGTGTGGCACAGGATCCCAGCCTGGACCCGCACTGGAGGGGGAAACACACATCACTAGATCAGTCAATAAAATCGGAATGCAGGCAGTGGGTTAGGAATAAATATCATATCACTGTGACTGTTCTGTGGTCATGTAAGTAAATATCCTTATTCTGAAGTATCTAGGGGTAAAGGACCACAATCTATGCAACTTATTCTCAAATGGTTCCGGAAAAAATAATAGGTACCTGTAGTAAGAAAGCAAATGGGGCAAAATATCAATAACAGATGCATCTGGGTAAAGATTATATGGGTTTCTTTGTACTATATTATAATTTTTCTGTAAGTTAGAAATTATTTCTAAATAAAAAGTTAAAGGGCAAAATGACAGCCCACCTTAAAAATTGCCAAAGGGCTTAAAGAGACATTTCTCCAAAAATATACAAAGGACCCACAAGCACATGAAAAGATGCTCAGCATCATTAGTCATTGGGGAAATGCACAACCAAACCATAATAAGATCACACTTCGTACCCACTAAGGTGGCTATCATAAAAAAACAGAGAGAGAGAAAATAACAAGTGTTGGTGAGGATGTGGAGAGACCGACAGCCTCGTACGTTGCTGGTGGGAACGTGAAGTAGGGCGGCCGCAGAGGAAAACAGTTTGGTGGTTCCTCAAAAGGCTAAACATAGAGTTACCATATGACTCTGCAATTCTACTCCTAGGTATAAACCCAAAAGAATTGAAAACAGGCTGGGCACAGTGGCTCACGTGTGTAATTCTGGCACTTTGGGGGGCTGAGGTGGGAGGATCGCCTGGCCTGAGCCTCCGCACCCAGCCTTCATCTCAATTATTTTTTTAAAGTTAAAGGAGCTGTACGTGGTCCCAGCTACTGGGGGGTGGAGGTGAGAAGACCACTTGAGCCCAGGAGCTTGAGGCCAGCCTGGGAAATATAGCAAGACCCATCTCTTTAAAAAAAAAAAGTTAAAGCAAACCAACAAAAAAATCAGTCTGGCAACATGGCAAGAGTGTGAGCTTTGCAGTCTGACAGGCCTGAATTCAAATTCCAATTTCGCTACTTCCTATTTGTGTGCCTTGGGGACGTCCCTAACCTCTCTGAGCCTCAGTGTTCTCATTTGTGATAGAGAATACTAAGATGTATCACAGGGGTTAATTGTGAGGAAGAATTAACATAAATGCATATACTATTCCCAACATAGCCTGACACATAGGAAGCACCGAGTGAGTGTCGACCACTGTCGTTATGGTTACGATGAGGATAATGGTCCTTGGCGTCCTCCACTTGGTTGGGTCCCCCTTGGTTGGCTGGCTGTGGATGGTCTTGGTGAAACAAAGGCAAGTTCAAAATCAGACCCTCCAACACTAGCAGGCGCAGGCAGCCCAGCCTCCTGGCTAAGGTCCTGTACCCTGGGGTTAGACTCACTGCTCATTGGCCATGTGACCTTAGGTAGATCACTTCGTCTCTCTGTGCCTCAGTTTCCTCATCTATAAAATGGGGATTAAAAACAGTACCTATCTCATGGGATTTTTGTGGCTTAAATAAGATAATGTTTGAAAATACCTAGAACTTTGCCTGGTGTTGAGGAAGTGCTGTGTTTGTTAAATAAAATGGGATTTTCCCTGACTGTGGTCTCAGCGCCTGCCCTGAGAGTAGGTGGCGGAGCTACAGCCACAGGGACGAGCCCTGAACAGGAAGCCGGGCACACGGGCACCCACACCCGCACTCGCACCCTCACACCCGTGCAAGCCGCACAGCAGCGTTGCAGCCAGCGAGGCTGCTGCCCCGGACGGGGCTGGCCACAGTCACTCCTTTCCAGGGTCCAGTCCTCACCTTTGCCAGACCAGGACGCCACCCTGCTGTGGCTTTCAGGGCCAGTCAGGGCCTGAGGAGCGGCTCACAGGGTCAGAACTCCCAGAGTTGGTCCAGTCAAGAAGGCGGTGCTGGCCAGGAGAGCAGCATAGAACGCGACCCCCTGCCCTGGACGCGTCGGCTTCCAAGCACAGTCTCCCCGCAGGGGCGCAGGGAGGTGCCCCGCAGAGGGGCTCTGGACGAAGGGGCATCGCAGGAGTCAAGCAGGCGGCCAGCAGGGGGGGCACAGCGTCCCGGGTGGTGGGAGGAAGTCTGGGTCCCCACACTGTAGGCACCAACAGCAAACTCGCCACCCCGGGCCTCAGCTTCTCTGTTTGAACATCGGTGGTCACGGCGGTGGAGGGACTGGACGGTCCTAGAGGGTCCACTCAGCTTCGCAGTTCGGGCACACGTCTGTCCCGACTCAGCTGCAGACTCCTCAGGGCGGGCATCCCACACGAGGGGCCAGGGAGTAGATCCCACGGATTTCTCCAGGAATCACCGAGCAGAAGAAAACTGCTACTGCTGCTGCCTTCCGACCCTCCCTGCGAGAGCCAGAACCAGAAAGTCCTGCTTTGCAAAGAACAGAAGAATTTCCACGTGGACGCTGACAGGCAACACTGTTTTTGGGGGAGAATAGCATCGGCGGGGGAAGGTAACTTTGTGCGTGGTCTGGAGCCCCCTGCCATGGAGGAGGAAGGGGGACGGGATGGATCTTGCCGGCTGCAAATCCTTCCCACCCCCGCTGCAGAGGCCGCAGTGTTTGCAAACTGAGGCACAATATATTCAAAATCACTGTCCCTTAAATGTAAACGTGCATTTCTGGGTATAAACCCAAAAGAATGGAAAGCAGGGACTTGAACAGATACTTGTGCACCCATGTTCATAGCGGCATTAGTCACAAAGCCAGCAAGTGGAAACAGCAAGTGCCCACCAACGGATGAATGGCTAAACAAAATATGGGATGTATGGACAATGGAATATTACTCAATCTTGAAAAAGA